GTAAGTCTAATTTCAATAATCTTCGAGATTTAAGAGATTACTGTGACGCCGTTGTAGTTGCAAGTTCACTTTATGGCCGCCATATTTGCAATCTACGAACTCTTGTTTTCGTAGTTTTTGATAGATATCAAGTTATTTTGTACGAAGTAGGCTGTTAAATCTTTGAAAAATACTTTCTCTACAAAGTGGCTCAAGTATTTTTAATGAAATACACCGTATTGACTCTTTCAAACACCTACAGGCATTTCGTATCTATAAGCCATCAAATATGATGTTGTCTGCCATTCTTTCAATCCTTGTACTCACGTAATACAATAATGTTACTTTATTAGTATTTTATCATTTTATCAAAAAAAAAATTCCAAGCTAAAACACTGATATTTGTCATAATGATAAAGGTGTTCATATTGTACCTACTGTTACGATTTGTACATGAGAATAATTATATTATATATATATATATATATATATTTACTTACCTCAAATGTTATTCGCTTATATATTCCTAACTTTAATTAAATACCTATCGTCATTTGCAAGTATATATCATCTAATTTAATTTGTGGACTACAAACATATGCCAGTGTGTTATACCTACTTTATCAATTAATATATCTAAGTGATGATTTTTTTAAGTATTATTAAAAGTTAGGTATATTAAAATGTAGAAAATATTTATTTTTATCTTAAGCTGAAAGTATAACTTAACCCTTATAGTACCGTGGACATGTTAACATGTCCACGTTTTGTGACCGCTGAGTTACCGAGGACATGTATACATGTCCGCATTATGTGCTGCTATTTTCGTCATTAATTGATATAAAAATACAGTATATTTTCGATTGAACACTATTTCATTCGATTGTGAACGAATTAAAGAATATTCTGAAGAATTATATTCACTCGGTTACATAGACAAAATCAAATATAACAGCCATTCGCCTTTGCATACCGGTACGGTTAGTTGCGTAATCGTTGAAGTTTTGTGATTGTGATTTTAGTTGGATTTTCTTTCAAAAAAACTGTAAGTAATGTTATTTATCTTTACTACGTAATGTTTTTGAATGATTTAAGTTACAACAACAGTAACTTTTTATGTTTCAATTGATAAAAAAGTAGAAATATAAAACCTCTACGCGAACAATTCATAACGGTCAAGATTTCTAATAAGATTCTAATAAAATAATAATAGTATATTTCTTATTGGAATACCACAGTAAATACTTTGACTAGGAATTGCTAAATTTTATATCTATATGATTGTATAAGAAAAATAAAGGAAGACGATATAAAATATATACACAAAAAGTAAATAGTAAAGTAAAAAGTAAGTGTAAACTCATTTTCAAAGCAAGCGCTAACTGTCTATTGTCGAATTTTTAGCAAATGTTTGCAAGTGAAAAAGTAGAATTATTATAATTATTACGTGCATAATTTCGGTTCATTTAGGAAGAATATGTTGTATTGATTGTAAGGACATAAAAATAAAATAAAAACTTACGATGTTTCATTCATAAAATAAAATTTATCGTCAGTAAGTACACTTTATCAAGATCGGTTAGAAACAAAGAGCTGTACAAAGTAAAATAAACATTTATATGTTATGGTTATTATTTCTACTTATCAAAAATCTTATCGGCTTCAAATAACTGTAACTAAAATCTCTTTAAACATAAACGAAAGGTCCAGCTGAGGTGACGACAGAGGCCGCGGTACAAAGCTCTGTTTTTTGTTATGGCGGGCGCGGCAAGGGAAAGGTTAATCCACAAATTGTAATAAATTGTCATTACTTTTATAAATAATCTAACTTCTGGTACCACTAAAATTGCAAATTAAAAATTAAAGCTATATGGGGTGATTTACCCAACATTTCATATTGAAAATGAACTTTTAATTTTTTATACTTCTGATATTTATTAATTGCAAACTTTGTTGTGCCTACCATTAAGTTTTATTATTGTTATTGTGAAGAAATATTATTTAATATATGTTCGAAGGAATATGTAGTTTGAGAATATATGAGTTGTTGGGATTGCCTTGTTTCTGTAGTGCATCAGCGATGTTTGCAGAATACCAAGTTGACAGCTTTGCAGCCATTATTAAAAAAAAACACATTGTTAATAGCTTTGGGCTTGCTTTGTGAGGAGAGTTATTTTAAAACACTGTTATTTACTTTAAAAATCCAAATTCACTTCAATTTATTTTGATATTTTATTTTATTTTGATTGTAATTAATTTAATTTATTTGATGTTATTTGATTTTGATTGATCTTTATTAGATTTTTTGTTTGGTTGTATTTAATTTTATATTTTATTGACATTACTATTATTTTATTATTATTTTTGGTTTGATTTTATTGTGATTTCATTTTGGGTTTAGATTTGATTTTAGTTTTGATTTTATTTAATGTTTACAATTACTAACCTAATCTAAGTCATACTAATAACTTATGGATCTTTGACATCCATAATAATGAATTATTATTAGTACCCGGTTGACCGAGCTTTGCTCGGTATTCTTCACTCGGTTTTTTTTCATTCATGTGTTTTGGAAATTATATTTAGATACAAATTACATACTGATGAAATACGAATAATATTTTGAATAAAACTAAATTTACGGATTTTATCGCGTTTATTTCACTACTTTTACTTATTTTTAATTCCCGACGTTTCGGGTGCTTTACAGCAACCATGGTCACGGGGGGGACTGAGATGTTTGACGTCCCAATGTCATAGTTAGTCCCCCCCCCGTGACCATGGTTGCTGTAAAGATCCGAAACGTCGGGAATTAAAAATAAGTAAAAGTAGTGAAATAAACGCGATAAAATCCGTAAATATAGTTTTATTCAATGTGTAGAGTTCGCGTAAATTTAAGAAATCATTATACGAATAATATTTTTTGATCTTAGCGACATAATAGAAAAAACTGAACTGGTTATTTGAATAAAAAATCATGAGTGCAATTAGTTTAGTTTAAATTTTCGTGTTTTTAAAAAATACTAAAAAAAGGGCTCGAAAAAATAGATTTTCTCAAAAAAGAAAGGAACTTGAAAAAAAAATTAAAAAAAAGTCGGTCGGTCGGTCTGGGCTCGAACCATGGTATTACGATTTTGTGACCGCCCAATATACCAATTAAGCTATTTGTAATCATTACTAAACTGTCAAAATTTACCTTCTTATTCTAATGATATTGTAGCAGTTTTTCATTGCCTAAAAACACGGACAAAAAGAAATTTTCTGGCTAATATTTCCAATATGGACCATCGATTTCAAAGCCCATATTTTTTTTGTAAATAGTACTCACTAAAAGAAAGCATTTTGCAAAGTTTTAGGTTGCAGAAACTTACGGTTCATGAGATATATTTTTTAAACTTTTCATACAAAATGGTAAATAACACGCAATTACAAAATAAATTTGACAAATGATTGATGTCAAATGTCAGTTAGTGTAGGGTTCCGAATATTTTGAAAGTATCGATACCTATTCGATACCAAGTATCGTATCAAAAGTATGAGGGTGGATTGAAAAGTACTCGGCCTAACCAAGAAAATAAACACATACTAAATCAGTTATATTTTTATTTTTCTACATAATCACCATCAAGTTCAATACACTTTTGCCACCTCCCCTTCCAAGCATTTAGACCGTTGAAAAAAAATGATTCTTCCTTAGAGTCAAAATATGCGTCTACAGCTGCTTTGACCTCGTCGTTTGTCGAAAATCTTTGACCTCCCAAGTGCTTTTTTAGCTTAGGGAACAGAAAGAAGTCTGATGGTGCCAGATCAGGTGAATACGGCGGATGCGGTAACAGTTCAAAGCCACAGTTGTGAATTTCAGCCATTGACTGTACTGACGTGTGAACACAGGCGTTATCTTGATGAAAAAGGACTTTTCTTCTGAGCATTCCTCGACGTTTTTCTTTTATTTCCTCTCGTAAACGACGTAGTAAGGTGCAGTAGTAATCAGAGTTTATAGTCTGACCCCTTTCAAGATAATCAATCATAATCACACCTTTCGAGTCCCAGAATACTGAAGCCATCACCTTATTTGCCGACAAAATCGACTTAGCCTTTTTAGGGGGTGGTGAACCAGGTCTTCTCCACTGTTTTGATTGTTGTTTTGTTTCCGGTGTACAGTAATGAACCCATGTTTCGTCCATAGTAACAAAACGATTCAAAAAATCATCTGCATCGGCTTCAAATAACTCCAAATAGTCGGTATGTCAATCGCGTCCTTTTTTGTTCAACTGAAATCAGTCGCGGAACCCACCTCGCAGACACCTTGTGGAAACCCAACTCGTTGACAATGATGTTTTGAGTTCGTTCATAAGAGATGCCTATAATCTCGGCTATTTCTCTAATTTTTAATCTGCGGTCTCCCATTATTAAATCAAGTACTTTTTTAATATTTTCGTCAGTAGTTGACGTCGAAGGCCTTCCAGAGCGGGGTCATCTTTCACACTCTCTCTACCACGCTTAAATTCTGCTATCCATTTTTTGACGGATTAATATGACAGAGCACAATCGCCTAATGTACTGACCATGTCATCATGGATGGCTTTTGATGATAGCCCCTTCTTATGGAGGTACTTAACGATGGCACGCTGCTCGATTTGCTCCATTCGCGGAAATTATGTCCGATTACTTTGTTAATAAATTTATGAAATCACAACTAATTATCGCACACGTTTCGATCTTCACACAATGAACTAGTCTGAACTGAACTAAATAATGTGGGTAGATTTGATTTTTAGAATTGAATGGATCTGTGTTAGGCCGAGTACTTTTCAATCCACCCTCGTATCAATACTACTTGGTATCGAGTACATTTCGTTAATTTTGGAGACAAAAAATTATGACAAACCAATTAGATGCATAGGAAGAGCTGATAAGTGCAATTATATATGTATATAAAGTAGAATAAAGTTTACTCTATTTAAGTTCCACCTTAGTACTTGTATTTCATTGTTTGCAACTTGTTTGTATTTCTTAATTAG